TTACATGTCAGGGAGAAAAGAGTGAAACCTGAACATTTGGAAGTAAATCTTCTCATTCACTCCATTGCTAAAATCTGATTGGTGTCAATTGGGGTCTCTTAACCTTGTATTTCCTAAAAAATAACTCCCTCAAATAAGAAATTTAGCTCCTCTTCAGAGAAAATCATTGGGCATCCAAATTATATATATATATGACATTAGATAAAAGTTGACTGCTTAAAGAAAAAGCTTTCCCCAACCTTTTTGTCCTTTCATTCGTTTAAAAGCTTTCATTTATACTTTTTTATCTTTACTCTGCTGGCAATTGTTTTAGCATTCATTTCGTGTTTTTTAAGTGCCATTTAAGGAATCATCTCCATGTCTTTGGGGATTCAGTTACCTGAATTCACTTCAACCAAATAGGTACAGAAATGCAAACTATGACATCAGTACCATTAATTTCATGACATCTGATGTTTCTGATTAGGTAAAGTTTTTCCTGTCAGTCATGTCTGATTCTAGGACAATGGTGCTCACTTCCCATTTTTGGCTGAGGGAGCCAGGATTTTCCAAAAACAATTTTTGTGGTCACGTGGCCAACATAGCTATATACCAAAGACACGGGGAATGCTGTTACCTTCCCAGTGAAGTGATACCTATTAATCTACTTGAATTTGCATGCTTTTGAACTGCTAGGTGAGCTGGGACAAGGATGGGAGCTCACCCTGTTACGTGGAGCTCGGGTCTCAAACCCAGGCAGTCAGCTCTGGAGCTGACAAGCTCAGCACCTTTAACCACTGAGCTACTGTGCTTCTGATTATCATGATGCAATTTCATAGATACTTGATTATGTATAATACGTAACCTACCTATAATTTTTAGATTCCCGTATAAAGTATCCTAGAATCTCATTGTAAGTCTTCTAGCTTTTTGAAATTCCACCATATATTGTCACCTCTAAGAGCTATTAACTTTCTTTTTTGGGGAGAGGACGTGGGGGCGGGGGAGGCAGGGACATATGACTTTTTTGGATTTTTTGGGGATTGTATGAAGTTAACACACAATTTCACTTTTGGAATGATAACACTGCTCTAAATCATGGAGAGGAGAATGTGCATGCAAAACTGAAGTTAAGGCTTGCCCGTACTTATTTTAAGTGAAACCTACTATCCTTAATTTTATAGATATGCTGAATACTACGTTGCAAATTTCTACAAAAGCCCAGCTAATGCCATAACTTCTATCACAATAGGAATTTACCTAGAACAAAACGGCTAGAAAAGAAACTCAAGCTCTTTTATCTCAATCCATCAAAGTTGAATTATGGTGCATTTGACTTTGTACAAAATATCACAGAACAAGGAATAGTAAATGTTTCTGGGATGATTAATTATCCCTATCTCAAATGAATGTTGAATATAATGAATTCTGCTTTAAATTCAGTGCATAGAAAATTCTATTTTATATAATCCTCATTAAGATAATTTACCCCTTTAAGTCTCACCGTATGGAAAGATAATTTCCAGATTTTCATAATTAATTAAAAGTAGATAAAAGTTGGGAGTTAATCCAGGTTGCAGAAACAGGGAAATTCTGGATTCTATCATTTCCCCCATTGGCAGACTCTTTCCAGGTTGAGTTTTTTTACTCTTCTCAGTGGTATACACTGAAAATCTGAAATATTATTTTTCTCACAAGGGTTAGAGTTACAGCAATCACTTTTTAAAAAAGTATTAGCAATCTATATAAACGGATGCCATCTTCAATAAAAGCTTAATTTCTTAGCGTCATTCATCAACACTGGATGCCAATCAACGAACTTGCACTAATGTGCTCTTGGAATGAGGAAAGAGTATATCAGAAAATGAAAAATAAAAAGAACATTTACATTAGTTCAGAGGTCTCCAAACTTGGCATCTTTAAGACTTGTGAACTTTAACTGCCAGAATTCTCCAGCCAGCATAGGCTGGAGAATTCTGGGAGTTGAAGTCCACAAGTCTTAAAGTTGCCAAGTTTGGGGACCCCTTCATTAGCTAAACAGTTGAGTTTAAGATTGTTATTTTAATTTTAGCAGCTGCTAAAATGATGCACTTCACCAACTTAATCCATTGACTTTTTCATCGTTGGCTTGCCATTTCATTACAATTTGAAGAAGAGATCATAACCTAGTTCTTTTAGAATAATGTATGTGCATATAAATTAGAGCTGTCTGTTCTAACTTGATCTGTTGTTCCTTGAAATGTTCCTCTTTCTTGATACAGAAGTCTCAAGTGCTAATTCTTCACAAAATAAGGCATCCTAGGAAACACAGCTTTTAAGTTTTTTCTTCTGCTATGAATAGAAATACTGAGCAGGAAGCTTACCAGGCATGTAGGTATTCAAGACGTGAATTTCACATTGTACTAGGACACCAAGGTGCTGTGGCATATCTACGCCATTTAGATTTTGAGGGGTGGCTCCCGCACTAGGTAGTTTGAATTTAACTTAAAAACCCAGAAGACAAATAAACCCAGGGAAGTACGTTCAAAAGAAATATGAACTATTAAAAGACCTCTGCACCACAGCGTTCTTTCCCTTCAACTTTTTGTTTATTGATGTACTGAACATGAAAAAGTACAAAGGATCCAAACACAAAAGAAAACATGTACAGCCTCTTTTAAATACTCAACAGAATATATTTTTTCTACTCCAACAGATGTGAATTAAGTCATACTGTACAACTTCAAATAAATACCAGCCTTACATTTTATTAAGTGCTCTGTTAAAAAGTGTAAAGTGAAGCCAGAGAGACATGCCTTCTCACCAATGCTTCGATCTTGCTACCGTAGAATATGGTAGCAGAGATAATAGCTACGTTTTCCCCCCCTCCCCACAATGGATCTCTTTATTGTTATCATCATTGCTATTGTTCTTTCCCAAAGCAGAGTGTTTGTGGTTAGTACAGAACAATTTACTCCTCGCACTTCAAGTGAACATCTTTCAGAAGAAGTCAATCAATTTGAACAGCATTGAATGGATCTAGCATGAACAGTCGCTTTCACTTTCACACTCTTCTTCCAACAGTTTTATGTACTGTACTCTACTGAAAATTTATAACTACGATTTTTTTTTTAAAAAAGAAATAATCAAAAAAAGCAACTGCAAAGATCATGTACAAGTATGTTATGCATAGCACATTGCTTGTTCTAAGGGGAGGCATGTGAGCATCTCAGTTTATACAAAAAGCAGGACGTAACTATATAGTTGTCAGGGCATCCCGGTGAAGGCACAGCAGCCTTCAGCTTTTTAAAAATTTATTATAAGCTAGATGCTAATCAGAAAATATTTGTACTTTTTGACCTTAAATTTCTTCCATACATGGTAAAGACTTTATTATTTCCCCAAATAAGTGATTTTAAGCATCATACAAAGTTAGATTTCAATAGCATACAGGTATTTATGATTCTGGTATGAAAAATGTAAGGAATTTGTTCAAAACCTATGGTTATACTCATTTTTTTTACCACAAACATATTTATAAACAAAAAAGTAGCATCACCATAAACAGCTGAAGCTAGACTATCTACAGACAAAATTTGCAACGTATCTGATCCACTGTAAATTCAAGTCCTCAGGACAACAAAAATGAATAAGCAGACCTCAAGTAACAATCTTAATGCCATTTACAAAGAAAAAAAAATACAAAAACATTTGAACATCACTTGGCATGTTAAGTAAAGAAAATAAAAAACCAGAAGAAAACTCGAAGTATTTAGCTGAAAAGAGGTTCATCAACAAAAGATCTTATTTACATTACACAAAGCTCAGGTGTTAGCTTTGAACATAACTTTCAAAATACCTTCAAATATATCCAATGCAAGACTGTTTTTTCCTGGTCTGCCACTTTGCAAACCATGTGCAAACATCTGTTTTTTTCTTTTCTTTTAAGACAAAACAATTCTTCAAACAATACTGCAAGTACATCACTAAACACCATGAGCTCTATCTGAAGGGAATTCTATAGGAAGAACAGATTTTTCCCCCATCTCAGTTAATTTAAATTTCTTGCCTGCTCTTATATACTTTTAAATTTTCTTCTGTTTCAAAATCACAAGTTTAATGTGAGCCATCTATCACATAGTAACCAGGATGTTCAGAGACTGCACCAACGATTACAAAACCAAAACCAGCAGTGCATTCTCCCAGTGATTCCATTTCTTGAGTAACAAAGATCTCTTAAAGAATTTCTACATCATAAATCACTCTAAAGTGTTTTCCCCCAACCACTGCAAATTTCCTGGTAAGTTTTAAAAGCTCACTAGGTGTCATATGAAGAGATTTCTCAAAGTATTCAAGTCAAAATATTTGTTCCAGGACCTGTAAAAAGTTTCTCCAAATTTTCTCTTTTTTATAAAAATAGATGCTTTGTTTTTTTTTTTAAACCCACATCAAAGAGGCTCTTATCTCTTTGGCAAGGTACAGCTTTACGAAAAGTTCTCCATTAATCTTACAATAGGCTTTTATAATGCACCACCCCCCCTTCCCCAACCCAAATCATAATTACAAAATAAATATTCTTAAACTTTATAAATAAAAATGTAAACTTCAAAACACTTCTTGAACAGACTAAACAGCAAGGCATTAAAGTGTAACTGAAACACAACATAAGATTAACTAACTCAGGAATTTTAACACAAAGCCTCAATATCTACTCACAGGTTCAAGGCAGTCGTGTAAAAGAAAATTTCTTCCCTTAGCTCAAACATTTTTTAAAAGGTCCACCTTCTTCAAAGAAGGCAATAGAATGCATTGTGACAGGTAAAAACCCTGTACCTCTTGTCCATATTTCAAACATAAGATATTTAAGAAGTTTAATTCAAATACTAGCAATAAAAAAATCTCACAATATTTCTTAGGATGCTAGTCTGTTATTCCCCCCATCTCAACACTGACTTACAAAGACATTTACTAATGTATAAAGATTCTTTTAACTTGCCTTTGTCGAATAGTTTTCAAATATAAATTGGGCTGAGGACACCTGATTAGGCTTTGTGCGTTTTGTTTGTTTTAAAGGAAACCTGCAAGACTCTGTCTCCAAGGCGGTATCCATTCAGGCTGGCTATTGCCATGGCGGCCTCATCATAGTTTGTCATAGTCACAAATCCAAAACCTTTGCACTTGTTTGTGTTGAAGTCGCGGATAACCTTCACATTTGTCACGGCTCCGAAGGGTCCGAACATTTGCCACAGGATGCTCTCGTCTGCATCAGGAGCTAAATTGTACACAAAAATGCACCATCCGGTTCCTGCGTGTCCTGGGATGTTGATCCCAGCCAAACTGGTCATTCCATCAATGGTCATTGGAGAAAACCTGCTAATCAACGCAGAAGGGTAAAAAAAAAAAGGAAGAAAGACAAAATTCTTTTTTTAGAAGAAAACTTTTCTCAAGATTAGAATGAAATTGTTTTTATATATCAGTATGCTTTAGGAAACTTAAACCAACTGCCTTCCTGCCTAAATCTTATGGATCAATTGTTTCTTCCTTTAAGTGTGCATTTTTGTTACATTATTTATAGATATGTGCAAAGGCAGTCTGGTGTAGTGGTTAAGATGCTGACCTAGAAACCAGGACTCTGAGTTCTAGTTCTGCCTTAGGCATAAAAGCCAACTGGGTGACTTTGGGTGAGTCTCCTTCAGCCCAACCCATCTCACAGGGCACAAAACTGGAAGAGGAAGGATTATTAGATATGTTTGTCACCTTGAGTTATTGATAAAAACAATAAAGGCAGGATAAACATATTTTTTTAAAAGCACTTGATTAGTGTTATAGTGCCATTTGACCAAAGGCACGTGCCACTTAGGTGACTTTAATACAAATTTACTGTGAACAATACAATATAGTTGCTGTGATGCTCTGGAGTTAAGTCGTTCTCAAGTCAGATTATTCTGCTTTTTGCCTGGGCTGCGGATAAGCTGACTAACTCAATTATTTTCAATGCTGATATGACAGAAAAGCAAACTGCAGTCAGCTATCAGAAAGCCTAAGGAATATTGTGATTGCAACTTTTGCAATGCGATGAACCAAGGTTCTTGAGAATTTGCTTTTCATATGTCGGGAATAATATAAACAGAAAGATTATATAAAAACTAAGCTACTTTGAACAAACTACCTTTGTTAAAAACTCTATTGCCCCTTCCGCTCCCTGATGGCTCCAGATACCAGTTCTTCAGAACATGGGCTGTAGAGAGGTGCTGTTGAGAGAACCCATCTACTAAAAATTCATGTTGTGCTTTTAGATAGACACAACCAGACAGAAATCTCTATTATTTTAGCTAAGGACTGGCTAGCAATACCTTCTTTTAAAAAGAGAAATCAACACTAAGAGCTTTGCTTATAGTATTAGTATTCGATTTCAGGAATCTTTTGTTTAGTTCCTTTTAAAAACATTAGTAAAATACTAACTCATCTCTATGTAAATTATTTTCCCCCCAAAGGACAATTATATTAATAACAGAATGGTGAAAAAAAGTAAAAAGTACAAGTGTATTGCCTTCATTTGTTCATATTCAGTCTGTATCGTGTTGTTTCACCATGGATTTAACAAATTATTTAAACACAACTGAAAGCTTTGTTCAACAAAAAAAATAGCTTTCTATTTTTTAGATTTCTAATGTTACATCCAGGTTTTGGTTTCTTTATTGTTGTGTACCTCCCTGAGTTGCCTTTGGCAAAATGGGTGGCTATATAAATTTGATAAAACAAACAAACAAATCCTACATGAAACATACATTCTTGAAACTCAGGCTCCAAATGGCCTTATGGAATTATTATAACCCTTCTTAACTTTTTAGATAATACAACATACTTGATATAGTATCTTTAATGTTACCCCAAATCTGTACCTGCTTGTTGTACGGATAGATGACTAAAAAAAAAACCACACACACCTGGTGGTGGCCTCTTAATTGTTAAAATGTCCTTTGAGTAGATAAGACGTCCAAATTATTTCAAAGACTGATACAAAAGACTCCAAAATATGTCATTTAAATGGCAGATATTGTGTGCCCTAAACAATGCTAGAAAGCTGATAAAGTAAGTGATAAATGGAAACAGATGATTAACTTCTGTACATGCAATGATCACTCAATACAGATCAAGTACCAATACTCTTAGTTCAAACAAGAAGAAATGATTATTAAAGTTAATTATGGATCTAACACAATTTGTTATTACCTCTTTACTCCGTAAGCCATATTGAGCAGATTGTCCAACCTGCAAAACACATTTAGCAAAAGGTTTATTTAGTCTTTCAATCTTTTACTTTGATTATGTTAAGTTGCTCAATTTTCTGAACTGCACTGTATGCAAAATTGTAGTTGTGCAAGGATTATACATTGGCATTGCTTGAATTTTGCTGAAGAGATACTGTCCAAGATTTCTCATAAACACAGCTTCAAGTTGATGTGACATGATGTAATTATGTAAAAAAAAAGGCACTCATTCTTTTAATTCTGGATAAACAAGATCATTAGGAATGTCTAAAGTGATACGGTGTGCACTTTAATACAGTATAGCGATCCTTTTAGAAATATGACCACTAAAGATGAAACGATTTTGCTAATATTTTCATGCCTTTCTCTGAAAACTCGTTGGAATGAACAAATGAAAAGTATGTCTGTATGAGAAACAGTGTGTACATAACATTATTCTGCATAAACTCTAATAGCAATTTTATTTCTCAAGATTTTAATTATGAATATATGATTATAAAATTATCTTGATGCTCTGTACATTTTAAGCTGGTAAGATTTAGCCAGAAACTGCAGCTATGTTAGAAATCTACAATTTCAGCATAAAAGAACAAAGGAATCCCACTTTTTTTTTTTTTGTCTTAACATTTGATTCATAACAAAATATGAATTTCTTACAAACCAAGTAGTTAGTTGTTTGCTCCAATGTAATGCAAATAGGTAATGCTGGATTTAAATAATTGCTGAGAAACCAAAGAAAATCAGGCTATAATATTAACTACATTCTATGATATTAACTTTTATAGTATTTACTATATTCCTCAGTTAATTAAAGTGATTGCCATCTTTCAATACAAGTTATGAGAATAGGACATTTGCATTACAAAACTGGCTCCCATTTTGTTTTAAATTTACATTAAGAGGCATTTTAGATGTCTTTCCTCCACTTCCAGAAAAGCTACAATGTGCAACTTACAAGAAAATGTAAATATACACAGCCTTTCAGAAGGAAAAAAGCATCTGATGCTGCAGTGCTTGGTTAGACTAGACTGTGGGCTGTTTAAAGTTGCTGCCCATTTTTCTTTTCTCTAAACTTGTACGCCACAATTATTATTGTCCTTTAAAACACCCATATGGTGGTTATATCAGGTGGAAATGCTAAAGGTTCAACCATCAGTCAGTATCCTGATTCTGAGAATCAGAAAAATTAGTAAGCAATCTAGTTTACTGCAACCCAGTGGGCAATGCCAAATTTTTTATCCTATAAACCGAAACCTTTTCTTCAGGAACTCTCACATGGATGCTGAGTCATTATTTTTCAAAACCAGAACAGCTTTAGCTGTGACATAATATATAGTAATTTGAAACTCTTAGGTTATTAGGTAGAGGTTCAGCCAACATGCACACCACAAATTTTACAAGAAAATACAATATGCACTCTCAGACAATTCTCCCCACTTAGGAATCTTATCTTGATTTTTATTTCTGGCTACAGCCTTCCAAACAATAAATAAATTGTATTGAGATCTTAAATATCCTGATATGTCATTGCTCCATCCCAAACTATGCTTTCCATACATACGGTCATTACCATCTTCATCACTCCAGGAAGGAATTCACTTATCTAAGAGATGTAAAATGATTTAAAAATTTGCTTAGGGCTTAATTTTGGGAGGGGGGAAGACTCTAATGACTAAAAACATATTAAACGTATTCCACATTATTTATCAACTTATCACTGAAGGCAAACCAAAATTTCCTTTTTTTAAAGAATAATGGGAAGAAACAAATATGGAATATTTTGGCTTGCTTTTCAGTCAACTTTACATGGCATAGAACAGTCGTGATTTCTGCAGTTAAATCTCCTAATAACAAATTCCAAATGTGGGTATAATTTCAGATACTGATAATTATGTACGATTTGTTTTGCTTAAGTAGATGCTTAAGTAGTAGTTGAGCTCAATAAAACATTGTCTTATTTTTACAACAGTTTATTTTGGCCAGTCATTAAAAGTCTTCCATTCCCTAAATCTAAAACCTGTTAACTATTAATTAACAATTGCACAAAGGGGACAGAAGACCACTGTTGATGAAGATATTTTTTTCCTTTTCCTTTTTTAAAGTTGATTGAAAAATGTGTGAGATGTACTGACATTCATTAATGGCTTGCGTGTTTTACAGGGTTCTAAACCATATTGTAAATTGACAGGGTTTTTTTTTTAAAAATTGCTGTTTCAGCTAATACTTGTACATAAACCAGCTCAAAAATGTCCATAAGATGATAAATCAAATGATTTTTGAATGCATAGAAATATGTACTTTACTAGTTTGGGAACAAAGATGTAACTTTTAACAATAAGATGACTGGCAATTTTTATATTTTAATGCAAAATCTAATAATTATCAATTTCACCTCAGATTGTTGGCATGTGAATTCAAATCTTTCAACCAGTTGAATACAAATTATCACACATTTAGGTTCCTCGAAAGAATAAAGAATGGGAAGATATTCTCGAGAGGGAATACTTCTTTTGGATTGTCATTTTTTTAAGACTGAGTCTTTTCCTCTTACAATATTTTAGTGAAGATAGAGCATTACTTTGCTTTAACAGTAGCACCGCTTCCATTTAACTACTTCCACTTTCAAGAGTTGTATTGTAAAACACACAGCTTCTAACAAAACTGTCGTTTACATCCATTACCAAGTAGTAAGAATTGTATAGAAGTTTCCATTAAAACTGTCTCCATCTATCTATCTTTGTGAATAACAGTAGCCAATAATTTGAATCCAACCATCTCCATTTCCAGGATGTTAAGCAAATAGGGATGACTGAACAACAAACTAGCACACATGAAATATGAATTGCCATTTAAAAAAACAAACATATAACAGTAGTTCCATTAACAAATCATATACTATTTGTAGGTTTCAGATTAGCTGACATTTTGGCATCTTCTTTAGGCAGCTGCAGGTAGATACCCAATGGCATGAGTTAAAATTACTGATTTAATATTATTGGTTTCTGTAACTCAGAACAAACTTTTCACAGACTGGATTCAGTACTAGCTCTGCTCCTTCTCTTAAACTCCCTAGAAGGAACTTAACATTGTGACCAAAAAGAAAAAAGGATGCAATTTATTCTGTATTTTTGTCAGGAAATAAAATAAAGCTCCAATAATGAAACATTGGAAAATACCCCCAAAGCAGGGGAAAAGAATAACAAATTTCAGCTGTAACTATGAAGTTCATAATCAGTGACAAAAGATTGATTAACCAGAATGTGACCTGCCATCCCTCATTTCTCCCGGCCCAAAGATGAGATTTTTGAAAGAAAGCACCGGCTAGCTGCCAACCATCATTTTATATTTTCAAAGAAACCTGGGTAGCCATCTGGAGCCCAGAGGCATTCTGAGAAATCAAGAGAATACTAAAGCTTGGCATTTAGTGTTGTAACCTATTAACATCCCTTCACCATCTCCTCTCCAAACTTAACTATTTTTTTTAAGATCAGCAAACAAGGTCAGCTCAAGAGGTCAGCTGTTCCCCTGTTCATTGTTGTTCTCAATAGAAATTTCCCAAAAAAACGTATATCTGCCCACAGAAAAGGTTAGCTCCCCTGCCAGAGCTAACCTGAATCATAGCTTTATTAAACTATCAACACTTTTGATAATGGCAATCCAAGGAATCGTTTTTATTTACTAGAAGAGACCAAGCAACCAATAGATAACAACATATTGGATCAAGCATCATAGTGACTTGTTTTCTCCGTGCTGGTGGAAGACCTAGAAGGCCCATATTCTGAAACCTTATGATGATATATGTATTTTAGTAAGGAGGATATCCATTTAAAGCCTCTAGTATAATTCACACACCTTAACGAAAAGATGAAGCATACTTCCAAGCTTCAACCTTTGGAGAAATTTTCTCTGCTTTATCAAGCACCATGCACTGAGATGACCATTCTTAAGGACACTTTTGAAAGAGACAGAAAAATTCATATTCTTTGACTCTGCCGTCTCACTTCAGTACAAGGCATGAAGATTTCACCTTCTGTATGGTTTTATATTACTCGGGAAACTGAAATTGAATTGAATCCTAGAAAGTTTTAATTGAAATGAAGTATTCTAATATATATTAACTCCTAATGATTAGCGTTACAATGCAATCCATCACTGAGGACTGTTTTCTGGAAAAATATCCAAATCAACACATTTAATCTTGTCTGTACACATAGTCATCAACTAACAATAGTTTGTTGAAAAAAACACTGAAAAAAAATAACATAGCCCTTTTTCACACTTACGATCTTTGCAGCATCTCCATGGTCACATGATCAAAATTCAGACAGCTGGGAACTGACTCATATCTATGATTGTTGCAGTGTCCCAGGGTCATGTGATCATCTTTTTGTGAACTTCTTGCAAGCAAAGTCAATGGGGAAGCTAGATTCATTTAATAACCATGTTACTAACTTAACAACTGCAGGAGTCCCTTAACAATTGTGGCAAGAAAGGTAGTATAAACGGGGCAAAACCCATCAAACAATTGTGTTCATAAGTTGAGAACTATCTGCAACACCTTTGCAGTAACTTATAACTTCTGGAGATAACTTTTGAGTGTTCTGAAGATCCAGACTTTAATTTCCAGAATGGCATTAATAAAATCTCCTAACCAACAGTTACACAGACTCAAGTTGTGGACTCAAGCTAACATTGCTATTTTATGTGAGATTCTGCTTAAAGTCTGGTACTTATCAGAGCCAGTGACAAATAAAAAGAGAGTTACAAATTACGTACTTTTCCAGCTTCCGAGGCCCTCAAGCGTTCTTTAACTGCCTTTAAAACACTTTGACTAACAACAGTAGTAAGAGAATAGCAATGGCAAGCACAATGTACTTGCCTTAGTATACTAGAGCTAGTACACTAAAGAAGAATCAGATACCCATCGAAGACAAATGCAAAGATAAGCTCTGTAAAATCTATGCGAACACACATACACACACACATTCTGTGTGTGCAGCAATGTCTTCCTAAATTTCAGAGAGGAACCCTAACAATGCCTAAGTTAACATGAACTGAGCAAGCTACACCATTCTCATTTGGAATACATGGCTCTTTTATTCGACAAATCGCCGGAGCCGAACGGATTAAAAACAATCAATCAAGCAATCCTTAACAATCTGTGTTAAAATTGCTCTAGACAACATGATCTAATGTGCAGTTTCAAAAAGAAACTGAAAAGAAATGCAGTGAAATCTATTTTGGTGGAATGGAAAACGCAGTCAAAAACCTTGGGATTCGCTCCTCCATGTCTGAACCTGTAACACACATTTCCAGCATTTGGGGCCTATTCCCTTCAGAGTCATCTACCACCACTGCTGATATAACATGAACATCCTTCAGTTTAGACCACGAGTCTCCAACCTTGGCCACTTTAAGACTTGTGGACTTCAACTCCCAGAATTCCTCAGCCAGCAAAGCTCCACAAGTCTTAAAGTAAGCCAAGGTTGGAGACCCCTGGCATTGTGAGAAAGATCTAGTCAGGGTTTTTTAAGGCCACTGGAGATTGCGTGCCCCAACCCTGGCACCAGCTATTTCTGCAAAAGTTCATTTACCTCTTTTTCATGTCAGTGCAGCAACAATTCCCCAGTGGCCTTACTTCAGGCACGAGGCAATCTGGAATTCTTCTTCTGACCATTGCTAACTCTGCCCTGGCACTCAGTTCGGGAGCAGGCAGTCTGCCTGTGGAGAAAGGGCAAGTCTACTTTTATTCAATATTCAGCGGCTTCACAGAATATCCTTTGAACAACAAAAACAGAGCAGAAACTGAATACTCCAGAAATCCACTGAATACTGAATAAAAACTTTTGGTTGCTTTTTTTTTTTTTTTCAACTGCTCCAACAGAAGGGTTCACTAGTACGAATGGTAAACCAATTAATAGCACAACATGGCAAAGGAGCTGTTCGGATTAAGTTGTTTAGGTGAGAGTGCCATTGGACAGGTGTTTAAATAAGCACATTGTTGTTCTTTTTTTTAAATTAAAGTCCCAAGGTTTCTTTAAAACAAAGTTTTTCTCAGCTTTCTGCTACTCGATAAGCACAACTAATCTCTCCCTTGCATTCACACATGAAAATAGCATCAAATTCAAAATAAGCCTGCTTATCCCCTCTCTTGATCTCCCCCTCTCTCACACACAAATCTTTCATAAAACAACACTAAAATAAAAGCCCCGAGCAGTTAGTGAATGTAGATTAATACAGTATTTGTTTCAATTCACGCCATCTGTCTTTTTCGGCACACTAAAATATCACGGAGGAAAAACGTATGGCTGATAGCACTGTGTGTCATCAGAAGAGAAATCCATAGAAAATAACGGAAAACTACTGGGGGGGAAGAATCAATTTCTAAACATTCCAAGAAAGATGCAGAATAATTACTGAGATTCCACTGCAGGGGGAAAAAAAAGGTTTTCTTTTGAAGTAAAGAAGACTTGTTATAGAAACAGGATTTAGACAGGTTTTCTACTCTGTAGACACGTCTTATTCTAACAGTTTAACAAATATCCCTAACCGCATCTTGCAAACTGAACAACAGATACTTTTCAGTGAAATATTACTACCTGCCTAGATAAACCTCTCTTCTTTTTATAGCTACCAACAGATGGCAGTATCTCAAAGTATTTTCTGCGATGTCTGTCAGATATTAAATTTAACAACCAGCAGTTCTCATGTGAGGAAAATATATTTCTACAGTGATACTGGTCAGGGGGGAAAATCCAGACTGGCTGACATAAGAAACAACGTACAATTCCACGTACCTAAAACGTTGAGCCTGCTGAGCAAGAGGTCCCGGATACCTCCTATTTGGAGACTGGTACAGCTGGGAGAGGATGGCCTGATTTGTTTTTTGGCTTGGATTGTTGGCAAATTTTACAGTGATGGGCTCCGTGGCCCCGGGAGGTTTCTGCCCATTCAAGCCCTTGATGGCTTCTTCAGCTTCAATCCGCTTGTCAAACCGGATAAACCCCACACCTCTTGAAACTCCTGTGTAAAAGCACAAATGAATCCGACCATTACTTCCAAGTAGCCTCCTCTCCAAAATAACTTTTTTTTTTCAGGCATAAGTAAGAATCATAGAAAGCAAAGCACAAAAAAGAAACAGAAGTGGATTTTTATAAGAAACAATGTAACTGTCAACCCTGGAGCTGACCTGACTGAGGCAATTTTGAGGCGTTCGGTGTTGCCACACTGGAGCTGAGGGAAAGGGATGGGGGGGGGGAATAGAGATAGTTGGGGTTTGTAGCCAAAACAAAATACTTTCTCCTGGGAACCAAGGACATTCCCACAGGTGTCCAGGGAGAGGAGGAGCAATGTCGCCTTACGACCCAACGGAACCTTGATTGGACCATGTAATTGACTGAGAAAAGGATGGAACTTTCACTTTTAATTAAGTGAACACTGCAGGAATACCCAGAGTCGGTTTTCACCAGCCTGTGCCAATATGATATGCCAAATAAAACTTTGAGGAACCACCCTGCCTCGGAGTTCTGTTTGCTATGGGTATACTACTGGGAACCCTAACATTAAACCAACTCTCTTAATTTTCAGTTCCAACCAGAGCCACTCTCTGGCTGCTGAGCCCCAGCTGCTACCAGTTCTACCTCTGATAGTAACATATAAATCATTTGCAAGGAAGCAGGAACACAACAGATGGGAACCAACAGGTGAGTAAAACCACATTTGTTTATAAGAGACACAGCAGAATGAAAACCAGGCATCAAAATACAGGCAAAAACTCTCTTATGCCCTCCCATACCTTTACTCCTAGTATTTAAACTTTTTTAAAATAATGGCTTCTTAGATATGCATTTGGTGATTGTGACAAGAATGGGTGATGCATCTGAGTTGGAATGGTTCTGTTTTATTATTACAAGATGCTATATATTTTAATATTACCATGAGTTGAATTTATGCTAATAGTTCCTATTGTTCTTTACTATATCAGATCATTTTTAATTTTTTATTACAAGCTGCCTAGAGTTGCCCGATTGAAACAGCACAGTAACCGCTATAACAAATTAATATCATACCCACCTTAATATTAAATCTGATTATAAACGTGGCTCAGGGTTTACTGTAATGTGACATATTCACATTAATTTTAATTTAGATACTGTCCGAGTCCAAATAACTTTAGGCAGTTCGCAAACAACATGAAAACCGATACAAACCAAAAACAATAAAGGGTCCAGACACAAAATGCAGACAAAGTAACTAGAGGGAGTACAACCAGGATTGCAAGGCTTCATGAAATGCAAACCGGCTAGGAGCCCAGATTTCAGGGGAATCTCATTCCAAAGGATGGGTGCTGCAACAGAGAAGGTGGCTTCCTGGTTCTTTATAGCTGACATTGTTTAACTGAAGTGATCCAGAGCATGTCAACTCTGACAGCATTTACTGGGCATGCAGAAACTACGGGAGCTAGGCAGATCCTTAAAATAATCTGGCCCCATGCTAGGAAGGGCTTTACAGGTAATAACCGGTACCCGGAATTGCACCTAGAAGCAGACTGATAATCAACCAGTGCAGCTCATGGAAGAGATGTACCATATGAACATACTGTCCATCAATGCTCACATCACTGCATTCTGTGGTTGAAACTTCCAAGTGGTTTTTCAAGGCTAGCCCATGTACAGCGCACTGCAAATCAAACTTTGAGGGGATTAGAGCTTGAGTGACCCACTGAAAAACTTCCTGAACTAGTACACCAGATGAAACTAAGCAAAGACTCCCTTGGCTAGAGCTGCCACCTGCTATTTTGAGCAGGAGCTGTGATTCCAAGAGTACCCTCACACTGCTCAACACTCTTGATTGGGAAATGCTACTCTATGGATGAAAAGTCCTCACATCTAGGCAGCTTTAACCCAACTAGAAGAGAATTCTTGTAGCGGATAGCAGGATCAGACATTTCTATTTGGCTATTCAACTTGCACAAGAAGCTTTAATTACAGAAAAAAAAATTCATCAGGAAAATTAATGTTGTTGCAAACAAATATATATGGAGACACCCAGAACAGTGTGTGGAACTAGATTTTCATGGATTTAAAGTGCATCCAGGATTATTAATTGATTGACTGATTGCTAACTGTTAAATGCAACATCAGTTTGTGACATGAAATGTTACAGGAGAATGTGTGTATGTGAGCATGCATGGCTGGGAGCAGGAAAGGGGAATCTATCCTGAAATACCTGTTAAGGACTAGAGACAATACAGCCTAATAGTTACAGCACCATAGAGATCATTATTCAAATCCCAATTGATTACAGAGCTCTGGATAATTTTGCTCTACTCTGTCAGCCCATCTTATTTTGTGTGGCTAAACCAATTCTAATTTAAGGAAAATTCCTTGACATACTTCTTGAGCTCTCTGTGGGAAAAAAAAAACTCTGGGTATTGTGCAATTAAAACAAAATATATATAAATGCACTTGTTGTTCCAAATATTGATATAGATGAAAAGCCTATGGAAACTAAATTCAACATATTGAAACACAAAAACATCTAGATATATTGTTGATTTGCACCTGTGCTGTAAAATGGCAACCTCTCCCAAACCAGCAGTAAATTTGATGTGAGAGGACTGAAATGCAGTGAATAAATACACACATGCATAATCAAAAATGTAGTTATAGGTGTATTTAAAATATAATTGACAGTCCTTGAAAGCTTCTGGAATATTTGCATTGTAACTGTTGCTATTATTACAGGGGGAAAGATAGAGAAAAGATTTAAACATCTAAGGGAGGAAAAGGGCGTTGGTACTTACTTGATACGCCTATTCTCTGTAAGCTGTGAAGAGCATCCAGAAATGGGAGGTGCTTCAGTCTCTTCTGGAAAGGCTGGGCTTAAAACTCTGGGACGCTCCTCCTCCTCCATGGGACACTTCCTCAGCATCCCCCAGTTTTGCGAAGACTGAGTGCCAAAGTCCGGGACTCATCATCTAATCTAGATCCCTGACTGGAATGGAACCCTACCAAGACGGAAAGAAATGGGTGGGGCTGGATGCTCTTCACAGCTCACAGAGAACGGGCGTATCAGGTAAGTACCAACGCCCTTTCTCCCATGAGCTGTTCAGAGCATTCAGAAGTGGGACATACCAAAGTTTGGCCTGTCCTTAGGGAGGGACTCCGTCTGGATCGAAATCCACTCCTAAACTCTGTGGACCCTCTGCAGGACTCTTCTGCCAAATGAAGCGTCCGCTGAGGCATAGACATCAATTTTATAATTTCTGACAAAGGGCGATGGTAAAGCCCAAGTTGCCGCTCTGCAGATTTCGTCTATGAAAGCCCGTGTGGCCCATGCTGCTGATGTTGCCGCACTCCTTGTTGAGTGGGCTGTAATGCCCCTGGGAACTGAGATGGACTGGCATTCGTAACTTTTAGCTATGGTGACTCTCAACCATCTACCAATGGTCGTTGCTGTCGCTTTTGCTCTAAAATGGATGGGTTGAAGGATAGGAATACAGCCTCAGATTTTCGAAATGCCGCCATGCGGTCTAGATAGATGCTGAAGGCCCTTCGAACGTCAAGTCGATGCCATTGATGCTCCAGTCTATGAGATGGTTTCGGACAAAGTTTTTGGAGGTACCAACTCTTGCACTCTGTGGAAGGCTGAATTTATTTTAGGAGTGAACGATGGATCCAATCGGAGAATCACTCTGTCTGCATGACACACGCACAGGTCTTTTCTCATTGACAATGCCTCCAATTCGGAAATCCTCCTTGCTGATGTGATTGCAATTAGGAAGGCCACCTTATATGTCAGGAATTTAAGACTATCATTTCTCAAAGGCTCGAACGGGCCAGTTGTAAGTGCGGTTAACACCTTGTTGAGGTCCCAGGTGGGACAGCAGTGAATTACAGGAGGTCGTAAGTTTGCAGCACCCTTAAGAGAGGTGTGGATGGTGCACTATGGACCGGAGGTCACCCCAGGCTATCACTGAGGCTAAAGCCGCCACCTGTCTGCATAAAGTATTTGGAGATAGGCCCTTGGTCAACCCTTCCTGTAAAAAGGCCAATAATTTTCGTATTGTTGGGGCAGTTGGGACGATCTTAGACCCCTGGCACCAGCGACAGAAGGTGGACCACATGGCCTCGTATATACGATCTGTTGAGGACCGTCTGGATGCTTGAATGGTGGCAATAGCATCCTCTGAAATCTGTTGGGCTGAAATCGGTTAGACTGAGCCATTGTGGGTTCGGGTGAAGTATCGGCCCTTGTGAGAGGAAAATCTTTGACGGTGGAATTTTCCAAGGTTGTTCTCTCTACAGGTCCTGTAAGTCTACGAACCACGTTCGCCTGGACCCGTAAGGGGCGACCAATATCAATTCCGCTCGTTCCTCCAATAACTTTTGGATCAACCTGGGCATTACCGGGAGTGAAGGAAACGCATATAGAAGTCCAGGAGGCCACTGACAACGCAGGGCATTGATGGCGTCTGCCCCGAGTCAGGTACCTTGAAATATACCGGGGCAATTGGGCAATGAGAGAACAGGCAAGTAGATTGATCACCGGTTGCCCAAACCTCCTCACTGCTTCCTGGAAGACAGACGGGTGTAGGTGCCACTCTGCCTTGATCTATCGTGGCCCTGCTGAGCCAGTCCGCCTGTGTGTTTAAGGCCCCTGCTGTGTGTTCTGCCTTGAGCGAAAACAGATTGGCCTCGGCCCACTTGAACAACTTGGCTGTCTCCAGCATCAGAAGTTTTGAATGGGTACCCCCCCTGCCTGTTTACATGGGCCTTGGTTGTGATATTGTCTGTCACGACCAGAACGTGGCGTGATTGGAAAAGGGGTAGAAGCTGCGTAAGGCCAGGTGAACTGCTCGTAGCTCCAACAGGTTGATGCTTTGTGATTGTTCGGAAATAGTCCAAATTACCTGCACAGTGTGGGACTGGAAGTGAGCTCCCCATCCTACCAGGCTGGCATCGGTAGTGATCATTGCCCTGTAAGGTTCCTTGAAAGGACACCCCTGGTTAATCGTGTTT